TTTATCAAATGGTTATTTATTATTCATTTAAAACATAAATATTGGTACATTAGGGCACCAGATAAATATGCACCACACAAATCTCATTTGATTTGTGTGAGGGCTGTGATACTACCCAGGTGCCCAAACTGAAGCAGGTGGTTCTCTTAGGGGGTCACACCTCGAGCCTTCAACATAAAGATCTGATCCACAAGGCAGAAGAGCAACATCAGGAAATGCAGTCCTATGGTGGCCGGTGACCAACGACTGATTTATATGCCATTTGTTCTCTTAGGATACTGGAGCTCATGTGTACCATTGGTTTGGAATCAAGGTTTTCCAACTCCTTTATATGGACTTTCCGTATCCACCAATCCGGTTAAAGCGCCGAATATTCGCTTTCCGTCCTCTCAATTTCGTAAAAAGCACTCCGGCTTCGAGAAGGCAGTGAGTAGGACTTCTCTGGCAGAGGCTATATACGCGTGGCCATGTGAGAGCATTTCGAGAGAGAGAGCTGACTCTCCCCACTCTCGACTGTACCAGGGCATTTAGGGGTCATCAAATGGTTAGGACAAAATTCAAGTGAGCTAATAGAGTCTACGGCTTGACAACCATTACAGTTGAACATTATCGAAACTAACCATTATTACATATTGTCGTTTGAACTAATAATAGGTAATCACTAAACTGTCATTGGACTCCTTTTGAACAAAAAAAACATTTGATACACGAAGTACATTATAAAGTACGGATTTATGGGCATTTTTATTACTATTTACATGTTGTATTTCTGGAGAGTTTTAATGTTAGTTGCACCCATTGAATTAATTTATATCACATAAGTTTCTAGATCATTATCTGTTCTATCAGAATCAGAAGATCGGTGTGGAAATGTTATAAATGATCTGAATTTTAGTATTACAAATGAACAAACGTTGTTTCACAGACCCATTTGTCGCATGATTAGAAAAATATGACACAGAATGTACACAACAATCAGATCGTTTTCTACTTCTGTGACATATGAGTTATGATATCTGTATAATATTATTTTGCTGAAGGATTCATTCATCTTCTAAGAGAATAATCATTTTATTCATTCTTTCAAAAAAAATTAACAGAGACTTCATAATATCAAGAATTTTCATAAAAGTTTTAATCCGTCATAATTTACTTATAACCAAAAAGATATTTACCCATTAGCTAAGGTTTGTTTAATTTTGTTAAGTTTACTCATTTTTCACAACAGACCAGTGCTTTGATACAATCAATAGCCGTTGTACTTAAGGAAAGTTTTATAATGAAATTATTAAGAAGTCGTCTAGGTAACAACATTTTATCATTAGTTCAGTGTATACTATATATCTTGTATTATTTAGTAAATCTGAATAGGAAACATATTTTGACTTTTCTGCAAAAGATTTCACTAAAACTTGTAGATCAGACGATTATTATTACTGAGTTAGTTGAATAGCTTAATAGATTAGTAGACAATTATAAATTTTCATATTTTTCATTTATTTCTTCAACAACGTTTTTCCATCGGTCAATCTTATCTTTGCATTAAACAGATCAGTTTTCAAATCTGTGAAATTAAAATATCCGTAATATCAAGTGCATAAAAATAAAGTTTCTGCTTATTTATATTTTATATGTGCCCATAATTAGAAATAAAAAAGTCTATACTAGTGCCATTCATTGTGATTCCTAACATACAGTAAGATCTATCAATTAACTATTCATTATAACTACCAAGCAATGTAAAAGTGAATCGTATGTGATGTTATTTTATTCTAAAGCCTTCAACATTAAGTAGTTCACTGATCAGAATTGTTAGAACTGTTGAAAGTGGTTAGTTTTGTCTGCCATATTTTATACCATTAGGTATTTTTGTAATTGACTTTTGGATTAAATCTGTAATGGTCAAAGGTATCTGTAATTACATTTTTATAAAGCTGTTATATGTGAATACTAAAAACATTTTTTGTGGATAATGGAATACTTTATTTATCAAATTAAAACGTATATTGTTGCTCACAATTGAAATAAGTAGTATATTCAATTCATTAAATATTACTAGTGGTTTTATGGGTAATTCATACTTTCAAATCAAGCCTATGTTTTATATTAAGAAGATTTGGTCATTTGTAATCGGTGAATAATCTCATCATTGTTTTTTTCTTTTAGCAAGCTACTTTGTTTGCGTACTTAACTAGTTAGAGTTTGGTTCCGAAAACAGAATTGGATTATCTGTATAAATCAAACCTATGAGTTGTGCACTCAAGTGTCCAATGTACGAAACTGACTGAATACTTAAATTAATAATTATTAGAATTTTAAGCAGTGGCTCAATGATTAAGTGGTCCTTGGCAATTGTTATTATGTCAAGCCTAATAGTTAGTAGCGTCGGACATGGTAACTGATTCCTATTATATATAACACAATAATTAAAAGGATATCCAATGGAAACACTAATGGAAATCATATTCATATGAATACTATAGAAAAGCTCCGAAAGGTAAACACACCAAATAAATAGATACTACTGCATCCTACCTTAGTTTTGAGAAAATCTGTGCTAAACTAGAAAAAATGGTGTATTTTATATTCAATTGTAATAATCATTATTGTGGAACCGAGTTATTGTAAATCACATGATCCTGATATACTTACATAACTTTAGTACTTTTAGACCTATTGACCATGATAAATTGTACAGTTAGGAATGATTAATCGATTTTCTTTTTATCCACTTTCTATGATTCTGTAATACTTATAATAATGGTGTAACTTAGACCATATCATTATTAAAAGTATTTCCTTCAACCTTACCGTTAATATTTGTCGAGATTATTAACCCTGAAATTGCTTGAACATTAGTAGGTCATAGTAACCATTGTTCATAGATGAAGAACAAAGTATCCAGTTCAGATGCAATGCCTTCAGTTTCTGTATTTAGTATTTCTTGTTTGTATTTTTAGGTTTTTGTTTCTAATTTTTTAAAAGCAAAATAAAGTATCCGAAAAATATATCTCTATTTGTTCCACTATTTTTTTCATAAAAATGGATAAATTCTGTTTACACTATCCTGAAATTTAATCAAGATATTCTAAATAGAACAAGAAACTAAATGGATTGTTGAATAAGAATAAAACAATTCAAAGAAGAATATTTCATCATTCTTTAAAGCTGTACAAATATATTTACAGGTATTTTAAACATACTAGCCTATAAATTTACTTAGTATTGTTTGTTTGAATTTTCCCATTGATGTTTAGGACTGCAACTTGTCAGTCTCTTATTGGCCATATGTGCATACTGTGCGTATTGCCTTGATATAGCCTTATTTCCCAAGCGTTGTAAGCAAAGATGGATAATGCGATGGTGTTTGAAGCGAAAGATACTGGGTTCGATTCCCAAAGTGAACATCAACACTGAAATGCACGTGCGATCCAGCTGACGAGTCCAAAATAGGTTAAAACGCGCGTCTTGGATTCCACTGCTAGCCACTATCTATCTCTGCTTACAATACTAGCCCATAATAAAATAAAAGTTATTGAGTAGTCAACAAAGTTACATTTTCAAATATCAAATATAAATTGGATAAAAGTCAAAGAGTAAATAGTAACAGATAAAATAAAATAATATATAGCAAAGAAGTGTCAAAGTTACTGGTTAACTTAACGAATATAAAGAACAAGCAGACACACATATAAAAAAATCACAATGCTAAAAAATGAAATGGGCATTTAGAACAACGGTAAAATAAAGGATTAGACACATCACTTCTGAACACAAAGATCAAGTTTGAATTGATGAATTACAGAAGCCTCCACAATGCAGAAATTTTATGTCTAGTTTACGTCAAGACCAGTTGGCATGGTTTTGTTAGAGACAGATAAATAGGTTTGATTGGATATTTATTAATAAATTTGTCAACTAATTTGTAATCACCTTTAGATAGGTATGTGCAAAGCTCAGATATACGCTTGAAAAGGTCACCTCTAATGCTGCCAATATAACTTATGGTAGCTCTGTTAATAACGTGGCAGATTTGTATTTTATTATAGACAACTGATCATGCTGTAAGTATGATTATGAAGGTTTAGTCAATGATACCTTAAGAAGTAAAACCTCTTTTCTTTAACTGTTTTTTTTTTCATTTGAAATAATTATTTCCATTTCATTTTCATTTTTTCTGTCAGTACATCAGGTATAGTCTTCTCATCTTAATTGGCTACATTTTATTTATTGTTGATCTTAAAGAAAGCTTTCATTCTTTGATTATACTCTGAATGATTACTGGATACACAAAACGGAATTATTCTGATACTGATGACCTTCTTATAATGAAGTTTATTCATATGTAACTACAAATATATATGTATCATGTGTTAATTAGATATTTAAAAATAAACCACATTTTGAATAAAATATATGAAGTTTAGGCCTTTAGCTTTTTATTTAAGTACCCTATAGAATGGAATTCCTGAAATATTTCAAGTGAAAATTGAGAAGAAACTTATGGTGGTTATACAATTATTCCACTTCTATTTAGGTCCTCTCTGTAATAAGTCTAGAATTAAACCTAATATTTGGCATTTTATTGATTCGAATGATTGTTTAGATTACAAATAATGTCGTCTTCCTATTGGAAGTAATTATCATTGAAGAGGTCCAAGAATTCAATATCTCATATAGTTATTTTGTATGTTTACACTTTTTATTTCATCTAAATCATTATTTTCAAATCTCCTACTTTCGTGTGCTTATAAAAAGTACATTGTCTGTACTTTAAACTTATATCAATATTGAGTACACATGTCCTTAAACTACTGTAACAGTCAGATATATCACTTCATGTGTTCGGCTTTTAAAGCCTAACAACTTTCATGAGTAATATTTCCAATCATTAGTGAATATGCTTCTTATTATTCTGTCAAAAAAATCTTGAAGTAATGAACATTTTCTGTCCCATAATTCCTTAGTGAAGTAATTTTTTCATAAGTTAGGTAATATTGATTGTTTATTGATTTTAACTGAAATATTTTTATTATTATTTTGACCATATAAAATAAGGGATTATTTAGGCGAATAGTTACATTTCATTAAAATATGAATACATTGAAATGCTCTGTAATGGATAATATATCACAAAAATAAATGTTTCCAATTAGTACACCTTACACAGAACAACATTGCAAAACAGATAAAAGAGAGGATTTAAACAATGTGAATAACTGTAACATTCCAATCACAGTCATGCAAACTGAAGATAAGTCCATAAATATTGGTGAGACAGACAAGTGTTTAGTCAGTTCAGAAATTCGAAACTCTCGAATGAATAACAGTTATCGAAATATACCTAGAAGTTCATCTTCTACAAGACAACTACATAAATATTCTGCTCCTCATCCACTGATGTACTACAAAATAGCAGGAAATACAACTCTTGTTAAACAAGCAAATAAAAATACTGTAAAAAGATCCAGTTCACTTGGATCATTGTCTAACAGACCTCCATTTTATCCTCCTGGTCCGCAATCCTGGGATGACGTAAACGCTCATTCGAATACACCGCGTATACAAAGAATACGAATGGCTAGAGAATGGTATAAAAGATCGAATTCCCTAAAATTTATTGGTTGTGGGACAGAATCAGGTAAAAGAATGGGTATTCCAACAAATACTCAGAGCAGTACAAAATATGTTTCACCAATACAAAATACGACTAATCAGAGACCAGTAAGCGTTGATCGAAAAAACTCGAAACCTTCACTTCGTCCTTGGGAATCGTATAGACTTAGACCATGTTCATTCAACTCATTATGGTCGTTGAACTATATGAATGAAGATCACAAAACAGTACATCATCCACATAATGATGTTCATTCACCATTTTGGTGTACTGATGATAAATGTTCATTTCGTTCTCATAGCCACTCAACTGAATCATTAAACAATAAAGTGTCAAAATGCATCAACCAACACAATCCAAAGCCGTCGATTTCTCATCTAAATAAGGATTTCCGAATGTCTGCAGATAAATATGATTCCATCAACCAAGATAGTATGATAAGTCCATCAGAAGTATGCAACGAAGGGAAAACACGAGGAAGCTACAATTTAGATAAAAATTTATTTAATTATAAACCATATTTTCAATCTTTAAGAAAGCTAAATCTAATTGCACAACCAGCGCATACGAGTCTTTGTAATACGACAAATCATCCCCTTATAAAGCCTTCTTATTCAACATCTAACCTATTAAATTCTAAGCATTATATATGTCAACCCGTGAAAACTAATTCGATTTGTAACGAAACACTAAAGCCATTGATAATGGATAATATGAAGAGAAAGACAGATAAACCTCGCTATCGATCTATTGCATATAAATCAATTTGTCCGAATAATGAAAAACATATTTCAAGTGTATTTCAATCTTATCCCAAACAGCTGATTATTCACAGTGAGGATTTCATTTCAAGGTTTGGTCATAATGCTTTTGTTAAAACAACTGGCAATAAACAGGATATTAGTTTGTTAAAAGGTCGCATCACACATGACTTAACATTTGTTCCAGTAGACAATACAATACCATGGTGGACAAGATCATCATTAAATCATTCAGTTAGTTATATTTTCAATTACACCGGTGATAGGTATTTTACTATGCTTCCTATTCATTTGTCTGTTGAACATTAGTTGATTTGTATTTAAAGTCTGGTACTAGTGTACTCATAGAAAACATCTTGGTAATTTATTCACACAGTGATCGAATCTTGTATCTGTGAAGAATGCTTAAAATGAGAGAATGCTTTCCGTAATGAAGGAAAGAACAAAGCCGTAATTACCATCTTGAAATTAAGTTTATTTCGGCGATGCAAAACACTAATCATTTCAAGGAATAAAGTACATAAATAATTACACTTTACAATAGTGATAAAAAATAACCAAAAACTTACAGGGTGGAAAAACTTATGGTATTAACAGATAAAATTATTAGTCGTCGATGAAAAAAGACAGAATGAAAAGATCCAACGTTTTTGAGTTTTACTAAATACTGTTGGATTTTTTAAGCAAAGTCCTCATTTCTTTCAGCTGTTTCATTAGTTAGCCCTGAATATTGTATTTTGTGAAATCAATATAGTTTTTCACAGAAGATTATGGAATCTGGTATTGAATGGATTTGACTTAATAAAATAATCATTCATTACTCCAATCGGTTGATCGCTAATGTCTGAGTAGTCAATATGTTGTTCACAAATCTAAATTATCTTGGTCTTATTTTCAGGATACTTAGCGCCCAAGTTTAATCTATTTAATGATATTGTCCCAGTTAGTTGGAAACTATTCACCAGTTATTGTCTAGGCCAAGATTTAATGATCACTGGTTATGATAATGAATATAATTAAGTGGTATAACAATATTCAATGTTCACTATAGACTGATTATAGTTATTCAGCTTGAAATCTCTTACTATGAAGATGTTTAAGAGTTTGAGGTGGTTTATATACCAAACTATTTAATATGAGAATATCATATTTGTCGAAAATTTAATTCGCGGTGATTTTCCAGAACTTTTAATACCATCTCGTTTTTCATATGCATGTTGATAATGTTTTAAATTTCAAATATTATTGTCCATTACTTACTCTATGGATTGTTTATAATTCTATTGAACTCTGAAAACGTTGGATGTGTTATGTTTAAGTGGTAACGTTCAGTTATTTATGAACTTAAATAGAGGGATAGTTTAAACAGACCCAGCTGTGATATAGTTAACGATGTTTGTACTTAAACATACAAATCATGTTGTGACTTTGTAATGTGAATCATTTGTCCGCTATGTAAATTATATTGATTAAATTTTGATTTGAATTTGAGCAAGTACATGATAACAATCAACTTGTATGATTAGGCATGATGCAGTTTTTTAAAAAAATTACGGGAAACCATCATCTTACTAAATGATATGTGACAATTTTTCTTAATGACTGTTAAGCGACATTATCACAGAGATTAACTGATGTGACCCTGGCTAGTTCTAGGGATCGTGAATTTATCTCTTTTCCTGTTATCTTATGACAGATCATAAGTACTCAAAAGAAGTGGTTATTCTGGGTGATGATAACCAGATATAGGTCTTCTAAACATGCTAAACAGAAATATTGGAACATCTAGTATAAATATAGCACTTTTAGATTAAAATGACCCACTTAAAATGATTTGCAGAAATGTCTATTTCCAAAATAGAAATGGAAGTCCTTAGGTATGCGAAAAGTTAATTTGTACCAATCAAACGTCACCTGAATTCAGAACGGCTTGACAATTACTAACACACATGTCATCTTTTTTCATGATGGTGATTTACGAATCCTAACCGAACTCATAATACAATACTCAACTCCTGACTGTCCATCTATAACTGAAAAATGGTTATTTTGAGCTTAAAATATGCAACGCAACTGATTATATCTTGCGATCACTAGTGAATATAAAAATCCCCGTAACTTCTATTCATTATTTATAAAATCGGTAACTAACGTGAATTGCTTTATTCCGAAAAATATACGGGACCTTTAAAAGTCGGTCATTAAGCATACAGCCATTGTGAAATGGAGATGTTAGGCAAATACAAGTACATGGTATTTATTTTATGAGCTTTTTAAGGTGAATGAGTATTGATCAGATACTAAATAGTGGTTCGTAAAAGAGTATTATCAATAAACATATAAACCGAGAAATGTTTACCTTCAAAAAATGGCTGATTTATTATAAAAGATGAACTATATCATACGGTGTTTTTTTATCGACTCAAGAACATATAAGTATATTCAGTAGATTTCTCTGTAGATGAGATTGATTATCAGAAATTTATTGGATCTTTGGTATTTCTTTAAATGACTATCTTTATATGATACTATAACACTCCAGTCAATATCAACTCTTCTCAGGTATCTCAAACTATAGTCAAGAGGTAGTCAGGTCATTTCAACGACCTTCTAAATGACATTCGTTCGTACTGAAAGTCATCTTCAGAAGAGTATCCGTTTATTATTTTAAACAACTTATATTTTATGTGACTGAATCAATATCTAAAAGAGTGGTGACCATTTTTTAGGTTATTTACAGTGGTGTAATTTTTTTTATCTAGAACAATATACATCCGTATACTCATTAAGAAATACGTAAAACTTTGTAAAAATTTCGTAGTTATCAGACAACATAGATTTCTATAGAGCTAGAAACTGTCCTTAGAAATGATAAATAACTGACCAACAATCTGCTAGATTTTCTGTTTGTCTCAAAGGATCCATTTTCGAGTTGAAACACTGTTATTATTTATGTATTTAATAATTTTTTAAAAAAACTGTAGAATTAACCGCAGACGAATTCCCTATTTGAAAACTATGATTGACACCTTTCGAGCTTTCATAGAATATATATGATAATTAGAGAACTAATAGAATGAGGAATGTGATTTTCTAATTTTTTTTAAATGTTTGTGAAACATGTAAACTAAGTAAGTTTCGTTTACAATAGCATGTTTAACTTCACAGCTTGCTAATGGTATGGCTTTTCATCATGGTGTGTAACATTCTATGCTTTTTTTGTATTTTGTATTTGCAAAATATTTTGTAATTGTATATCGGAATTAGATTATTCTCTGTAGACTGATATATTCAAACACAAATTTTCATTATTTGATTAAACAAAACCATTTACGTAAACATCTATAGGAATACCATTTTAAAAGGCACGAAAAGTAAGATATTATCTTGAATTTCTAAACTTGACTATCCCTTCATCAATCTCGAAATTTCCTAGTTCTAGTCTAAATGATTCAAAACAGATAGAAAATTAAAAAAAGGCTGTAACTGATTCTAAACACTACTGAATAACATGGTAACTAGTAATTACACTGAACAAGGAACAAATTATCATTTGAATTACACATGCAAATTACTAGATCTATTAACTACATTTATTTAGTGCATCATATTTTTCCTGCCCGAAGTTTATTCATTCAAATGATTGTTAAACACAATTATCATTTCTCCCGATTGCGAATAACCTCGAAAATCAATATTCTTGTGATTAATCTGTGTTATATATTTATTAGATATACAGAGACGATGAAATATGAAAAACTATTCATTGATATCCATTAACTTGGAAAAGATTTATGTGATGGTGGATGATTTTGATTTGTCCCATGAGCTGGATGGTTTGTTCAGAGAACAAATCTTAATCAAAAAGATTTATGTATATACGTATTTATGTACTCACAATCATGTTTTATTGTTCTGTTTCACCTTCAAATAGCGAATGCCAGTAATCCTAGACGCATCTCATTTCTGAATTTTTTAATTAAATAAATAAAAGCTATTCATACGTTTTATTTATTAATATATAAAGTAAGCAAATACTTCAGTGGGAATTAGATATACTATTTTGTGACTGTTATACATGCTCCCAAGGTTTCTTTTTATTTATGCACCTTTTATTGTTTTGTGTAACTAGACTCATTATTCAGGTGGACAAAGTCAAAAAGTCAGGTAACGATATATGGTACAATGATTTGTTAGTATATCGAATAATTTTAAATAACTATTATTTAAGACCCTAAATAATAAATTAAAATCTCCATGATGATTATGAAATATATTGCTCAGTAATCAAGTACATATATTTGTAACAAATTATAGGAAACGTTTTGTACTTGGAAATCAGCTCTTGAAACAAAATTGGAATCTTGACTCATCGAAATATGAATTTCACTTCAGATTGAAATCCAGAGATCACTGGCCAGATATTTCATCATAACATATGGCTTCTCAACAGTGAGCATCTACAGACACTCCAGGTATCTAGCCTGGATGAGCGTGGGATAATGAGTCCCAAAAGCAGAACATAATGGGTATTCAGGGTTTCTTGTTTTCAAATGTCAACCTTAATTATATCACTCCCCGACGAATACCAACTACTTCCAACGTTTATTCGTTTCAATATACTTGAAAGTTAATTATCAGCTTTTTTTAAACAATACATTTAAAATCCTGACAACAAAATGTTTTATAAATTTATTCATGGTTTCAGCAAATTATTTGTCAGTAACTCAGTAGGATAATCATAAGTTAATGATCATGATCATGAATTGAGCTATTTGATCGTTAGTTTGATCAATCTGAGGTGACATTTCATAACACTAATATTCATTTTAGCTAAATACTCTATGATAAGTAATACTAAAAAAATTGTGATTCGACAGAATATAATCTTTATTTCTAAGATATCATAGGCATGATGCTTTAATGATTTTCATAATAGTTACGTTTGTCAATAATACAACTCAAAATTCCAACTTGTGGTATTCCATAGTTGAGTTGATTATCTTTATAATATATTATTTTTAAAAATTCAGAGTTTGTGCTTGTTTTTATCAATTAGATATTAAGACTGATCAGTGGGTAAGTAACTCTTACGTAGATTGTAGAAACTTCACATAGATTTTTTTTTTTGAAAAGTGTGATTCTTGTACAGTACTTCAGTATGCAGATGCAGATATAATTTAATTATGTACGTTGTAGATTGCATATTAGCCATAAAGCGAATGAGACATGTCATGAACTCACGGTTTTGGTAAATAATCAAACTAGCTTTAATTAAAGACTGTTTAGAGGCACAGATTTGAGAAAAACAAATTAGTAACTGAAAATATTGAAAGTCAAAAATACATCGGCGTTTTGCTTACACCAACAGTTATATTGAAAATAATCTTAATGAACCAGTGATGATATATATCCATCCTTAAAATAGAACTCATTCAACCCATGAAGTGTAAATACTGTACTTTCATTTTTTTCAAACAGAATTAGAAATATTGAGCAAACTTCTTTTCCTTTTATTTATTCCTACCTACACATATAATAATCAACACATTATTCCTGTACTGATTAGAAGCAAGTATATTTTTTTTGTTGGAGGGATAACTTCTGTATTAGATTCGATTTTATACATAATAAGACGTAAATCTCGTCATCCAAGATCAACGATAATTTTTGTAGTCAATAAGAACTCAAAAGTACAGCTTAATACGAAATTGTCATTACTGAGTAAAGTCATATTCAAAATAATCGCTCTCAACAGTCAGCTATAAAATAAGATTGATATTTCGATCTGAATTACTTGGCTAGAGATAGAATGCATAATCATAAACAAAAATTTGGTTAGTAATTACGATTAGAAATCATGATGTTTATTAGTTCACATGATAGTTAAAGATCCTTAGTGCTCTTTTGGGTGCTTTATGTAACTTTACTATTAGGTGATGCATCTTTCAAGTTACTCAGCAGCATGGGTTTCCAAGAGTTTATATCTATTCCGTTTTGATGAGTTTCAATAACGGTACATGAATAAGAGCTTTAGCCTAAGTTTTCCAACTTATTAGGGAAACTACAGCCTTATTACGATAACTATCACAGTTACTTATTTGATTTTGTTTAACTTTTTATAGATATATCTTTACTAGAAGCTTCATTGAATATTCAAAGTAGCTAGCATTTTTGGTGCGTCTTTATTCATTCACAACATAAACGATATTGCGAAATATTCTCTACATTTATTGAATCTAATGATGGACCTACTTTATATTATATCCATGCACAGATTTGTAGACTGAGCACATCATTGATGATTTCAAAGATTTATCTTTATTTCAATACTGTTCTTTATAGAAGTATAAAATTTGTTGTATTAAATAATTAAAAAACTGTTATATTTAATATAAATAAGTAATATATCTGTGATATCCCAATGAGTAGAAAAATTAGATTTTCTGACATTTCGTGAGTCAGCGTAAGTCACTTCTTCAGAGAATAAATAACCGAATCAACATCAATCCAAGTTTAAATAGTACAACAGAACAACAAGAATATTAGGTGCGATCAATCTAAAAACAGGCCTGAATAAATCTATGTCATGTCATTTAGGTCAAGATGATTCATAAGCGACATGTATGTAAATTTGTGTGTGTATGTGTGCAGTGTTAAGGATGAAAAATGTGTGACCTTCATAATGACAAAGGATAGAGTTTAATTTGTAAGGTAGTAGTGTGAATTGTAAACAATATCAGATTAGGTGACTAGGATAGATAGTCTAAGTAGGATGTATGGTAAGGCCTTCCTTTCCATTTAGAGCATTAGGATTAAGCTACTCTCCTTTCTTTGTAATTGGAAAAGCCTTTTTATAATATTTTGATATATTTTGAAATCGATTTGATGATTGTTGAAAATGGCTTCAACTGTTCATTGTTTTGAAGAAAATTCTATTGAAGACTGAATTTGTTAATACACATTATTAGTATCATTATTTCTAATGGTTTATTTCCAATGACAGCATCAATACTAGGTTGTGATTATATCAAGCTCAAGAGACTTACATAGAATGTAACATGGATGCTAGATTCCATGACTAGCTGGTGGCTAAATTATAGTGTTTTTCGGATACGCTTCATTTTTAGTTATATAATCTATTACCATACTCAAAACCACATCAGCTATATTCCTCATGGATCTAGATCTTAATGTAACATCATTAGAAAGATAAACGTACAGTTTTCGAAGTAGTAACTCTCTCAACTTGTACCGATCAAGACATTTGAGAAATTAACATCGATAAGAAATATCTAAGATAATTTTGGCTTATGTACTCCTAAAACTTCTCTCTCAAAAATTCAATCACCGTAAGTCTACATTTTTTGTTCAGCGTATATTCATAGATCAGTTCGGTTATTAAGTCATGTTACTAGCAACTGTTATGTTCGCAGAAAACTCACAACCAATGGAGAAATGTTGTAAAAATCAAAAATAACCATTTCAATCAGTCTTAAGAAAAAACAACTACATAATTTTTAAGACGTTTCTTAGACGATAAACACCACGCAATGAACCTAGCAAGCACTGAACGGCTATTTTCTCCTAAAATGGAGTTATTCAGCAGTGTTCACCTATGAGTTCACCAGTGATCGAACCCAAAAATGTTAAGGCTTCGTGACGAGTACTCGATTGTAGGACCACCGAGTTGAACTGTGATAGTTTTTAATAGTGGTCAAGTATATGTTAATCTGTAATAAATGTCACTTATAAATAAACAGTTTGTTTAGCTTCATAGATTGAGAACATTACTTAAATATGTCGACATTGAACACTCACCGGTGAATTTAATCAAATTGAAAGTGAGATATTTGTCAAAAATGACGATGAATTACCAAAACTGGTTATCAACCGTTCTAAATCTGATGCCAATGTTTAGTAAATAGTTCATTGAAGAGGTCAGAAAAGTTTACAGTAAAAAAGAGATTAAAATATAGTTTTCAATACAATTTAATATCAGTTGAATAAAGGCTAAGTTGATTTAATAGTTAGTTAGCTAAGAAAAGTTTCCAGAAATGATATTTAATACAGAAAACTAACATGATATAATTCTTGTTTAGATGGATGAAAATTGAGTTTTAAGTAATATTATCATTTTATATAGTTGAAATCATGAGTCGATTGAAGCTAGACCACAATGGAAAACCTGGAAGCATTGAATGGTCGTTTCGCCCCATTGTCGGACTCCTCAGCAGTGCACATCTACAATCCCACCTCGCAACATTCAGAGCGGCCCAGTGATCTATCGGTTAAGTGCTATGGCGCGATACTGGTAGGTCCTGGGTTTGAATCTCGCGAGGTGGGATCCTGGATGCGCACTGATGAGGAGTCACACAATAGGACGAAACGGCTGTCCAGTGCTTCCAGGTTTTCCCTGTTGGTCTAGCTTCAATTAACTCATGATGTCAACTATATAAGAATACTAAAATCTCCACAAAACCCCTTCTGATAATACTATTTGTTATTTTTCATCTAGTAATATTTACAATCTTATTAAAAATAATTTTAAAAATAACTATTTTTCTTCTAAAATTAATGTTCTACACTTTAATCATTAATTACTGACCAACTATGTTCTTCTTATTTGCTTTTTTATACTTTTTATTATAACTTAGGTAACTACCCTTCATGATATGAAAAGTAAAGGTAAGTAAACCAATAAGTCATGTGTATTGTTTTATCAAAAGGCATTTTTATGATTGTTCTGCATGATTTTTTTCTCTTTTATGGTTATTTATTCATGTGATTGTGAACGCTTATTATTGTTATTTTAATTATCAGAGATGATAATCATTACCAAATGAGGATAACAACCGTTTAATATTTAACTGTTAGAAGAAGAACACATGAATAAGATGTTAGGAGACAGAAATTGAAGTATTCTTGTGTTTCTGATCTTACTGAACAAGATAAATTGTAATTACCGTGAATTAGAACTATTCTAATGTGTTTACCAATATAGGGCTGTTGAATGTGATTAATAAAAAACAATGTTTATCTTCAGAATATTTGTGTATCTCTTAACTTCTACGCAGTTGACTTGTCTATTCATTAACATCACAATTACATAATATAGTCCCCAAAGGTTCCTACTGAAATCTGTTACTTAATATCTTGAGAAATGTGTCATAAATAAAAGTATTATCCATATGAAGCTCAGGATTGATAAGTTACATGAATATGATAGATTTTCAAAATGTAAATGATCTATAAGTTTCTAAATTGATCAGACATTACCACTGGTTAAAAAGACTTTTTTTAAAAAAAATCTTAGAATGATCGCACTAGCAATACAGTTCTTCATTGAAAATATTAGCAGAACATTGTATAGATTAGAATGTTATGTGAGAAAAGAGAGAAGAGAAATCAAAATACTGGATAGACTGTTATCATTACCCTTATTATTAACATAATTTATCATTTTACTTAACGAGGTCAAGTATGTATTATACATTATTTCTGATTTGAATCATTATGGGAAACTTGTAAATTATAACATGTAAATAATGAAATGAAAACTAACCGAATTACATGAATTAAACTACCCTAATGAGGTGAAGTAAAATGATAGAATTTTTTAGGATAAATGAATTATCGTTTGATTAAATGAACTTCAAGAATTAATTCTATTTTATTTTCTAGTGTGGGTTTCTAGTAAAATAAATCCTTTTATTAGAACAGTGATAAACTGGAAAAATATGCAAATTTGACCAAAAATATAGTAGTCTAATATTACTATTTCATATGAAAAACTTAGTTGAATCTAAGGGAATCAAATGTAGTAATTCTTAAGATGAAAACATCACAAAAAATAATCTTTAAGTAACGTATAACAAATGAATGGTATAGTAACTTTTGTTATAACTTGTGACTCAATTAATATATAACGTAATGATATCGCCAATTAGAGAACAGTTTCTTGTCGACCGGACCAATGAAACATAAACGCGTACGAGCAGTCTAGAGTCCTTATCGGTCCTTCTCCCTGTCTATCTCTGTCTGTTGAGTCCAGAACACAAATTTCAGCCTCCGCGATATAAATCATGTATCTCAAACATACTGGGTTTATTTACAAACCAAACACAACACATTGCACCATCAAATAGAAAATAACATTTGCACAAGATCTAGCCAAAAGTGGCTGTGATTAAGGGAGACTGTAATTAATAAACTGGGCATAACTTAAGAGTGGCAGATCGTATAATAACAATCCATAGGCCAAAATAAAGCTTATAATAAGAGGAATATGAATATACTCAGTTTAGTTACTTAACAATTACACAATAAAAATATATGTATAGTAATAGTCCATAGATAGATCCCAACGGTTACCATCCATTATCCTCGTCGGGATGTAACAATTTTACATTTTCTTTTAATATTTTGAACAAACTAAACGGAAATTCCAGGGTAACAACTTGTCCGCACATGAAGTTTATAATAAAGTTAAAGCGTTTGTAAGAAATAAATTCGCAGCATAAGTGACTCGCGTACGTTGATTGTTTGACGTTACACACAATTTGACAGATTCCTGTTATAAGTAATGAATTTTCATAACATTTTAAAGATTTCAAAAGGCTTGAACAGTGATTACGTCGTTTTTTTGTGATATAATCTTCATACAGAACTAATAGACCCGAAAGTTGACAACAATATGAACCACGTAAATCAAATTCTATTTGTAAATAATAGAAGATACCTTTCTCCATTTAAAAAATCTGTTCAAAAATATTTGTCATTATGTAATTGACTATTTAGAAAGCGCTGAAATTCAATTAAAGTATAATAATATATAACTATACGTCAATGTTCAATTAGAATATATATATAACTATCAGTATCATAGGGGATTGGTTGAGGTTAGACATTAACACCGGTGGATGCCGGCTCAGTAGTCTATCGATTAAGTGCTCTGGCGCGAGACTGGTAGGTTCCGGGTTCGAATCTCGTGAGGTGGGATCGTGGATGCGCACTGTTGATGAGTCCCACAATAGGACGAAACGGCCGTCCAGTGCTTCCAGGTTTTCCCTGTTGGTCTAGCTTCAATTAACTCATGATCTTAACTATATAAAATATATAACTATCAGTTAAATTTCTTAATTATTTTATTTCTGTCTGGTCACTTTGCAATATCTTAGTTGTAAATAACATGAATAACTAGAAATAATCTAATAAAATGAAATCATCTTATTTTTGGTAGAAATAGTATTGTCTAATAGCCAAACAACTTGATGCTTATTTGAAAGTGATTGCATGAGATAATATAGAATGATAATCATAATAAGCTTGCTGTTATATCATTAACAGATAACAGAGAAACTCACTGCAATATTGCATGATTGTTGATTGCATTAGAAATTTTTTATTTTATTTCTCATTCTTACATAACACTGATAAAATGGAATCATGTTTCTTTTTTAAATAATATATGAAAGGAAATTTTCGAATTAACATTAACTTTAAAAACTAGATTTTATAAAATGCCTTTACGTTTAGTAACTTCAAATATGGTGAACAAATGTCGTTTAAAACAAATACGCGACAGTAATAAACGAGAAGTCAATTTAAATTATGGCGATAATGAACGTAAACTTCATTTAAAAAGTACACCTAATCTACGTGATATTACCGACTATGATAACAATAAACCAAATAACAACAACATATTAAAAACTAATGTAAACTCGAAAAAACCTCATCGAATATTTACTTCAGCTGCTTCAAAAATTAACCTACAACGTCCTCGAACTAAATCTGATAAGAAACAAAGAAGTCAATCTAATCCACGTCCAGTAATTAGTAGACCTATATCTGTAGAAAATTCTCAGTTCAATAAACCTACACAAGATTTAACTTCATTACAATTTGTGAACAATAGTGGGCCTCATAAAATGAATAGACAAACACTGTCGCCACTGTTAACATCACAGGTACCACAAAACAAGTTGAGTAACTCACGACCAGTATCCATGACAGGTAATGAAGAGGTTGGAATATGGACTGAAAAGCCAGTGGAATCTGTTCAGCCTGGAAGTAAAACTGTAAGTCACTTTAAATTTTAGAAATGTAACTGAATTACAACCAGTTATTTCTGTATTTTATTTAAAATTTAATACAGTTCCCGTAATTCACTTTTAAATGTCCTTTTTGAATCTTGTGCTTTTATGGTAACAATTTCATAAAGTAAATATACCTATTTAAGGTAATGTTCTTTACCTCATTCTATTAGGAAAGAAATATTCCACTTTGCTTAATCTGGAAAATAAGTCACATCTCAACAATTTCAGTGATAGTGAAGATTCAAAGAATCCATCCATAACGTCTGAATGACCTACCATACAAAATTATCCGTCTACCAACTGACTTTATTCAGTTAAAAGTCCTACAATGCACAGTAACCGTACTATAAAAGGCTTTAAGAGGGTGGAAAGACACATACATTGATTATTTTACAAATTAGAAATGAACATATGAATATTTCGTAGCATACAAAATTGAATTTACTTCTGTTCATTACTGTTTCATGCTCCTTTATATGAAACATACATTTGACAAATGGTTCGTAATCTATTTAATCACTTAACACTACGGTCTATTTTAATGGCGTCAACGTACGAATTTGGTTTAAGAAATAATTGCCAAATTAAGCTCGAAAAAGTGAAATAATTCTAACTAAATTTTCCTCTAGTTGTAAGTGAAATTAAATATACATGTAATCAAGCATCCTTGGAAATGATATCTTGAAATGAGTATGTTAAAAACGGTAGTGTTCATGAATACTTTGCAAACTATATGTCTGTTTACGTTAGACATACACAAGATGTCTAGAAATTGCATGTTTAGAAAGATTTATATATTGAAGAGTTCTTCCAATTAATTGGATCATCATTCACACAGGATCATCATCTAACTAGTCATTGCTCCTACAAGTATCCATCGTTTTCGGTTTTTCGTAATGAAACTTTTCCCATAGTTTTTTCCCTCTGTAAAATTAGATTAATCACACCATAACACTACCATCGTTGTTTACTAGTCAAAAATTTTCAGCGTGTAAATTAAAACAAAACTTGTAAGTGAAAACATTATTTTCATATAGTTCATCATCAGGCGTTGCCATAGTATAATATAACATTCATACACAGATTTGAAAAATACTCAACCAATCAGAGCAATTTGTGAGTCTATGATAACAATAAAAAAAGATTACATAACTAATCATGATAAGTTAAAAACACACAAACTGATAGTAAGAAGACAAATGAGTAGTAAGTATTATGATTACATAAACTTTCTTCATATTTATCAATGACCGTGAAATCACTGTAACTGATCTAATATTTTTCATATATAGGCATAAATACTATTGCATATCAGAGTGGAGCCTGATGATCTATTTGATAAAAGTATTGTTTATAGATGGGTTTTTTTTGATCTAGTTCACTGATTACTCAATCCTTTTATGTGTTATCTGAAAATGCCTATTTTGCGTTTAAAAAGTAACGTTCATTAATGTGATATACAAATATTTTATTCGTTTAAACTTGTCATATTTATCTATATACATCATGTGTAAATATTTGTTTATTTAATCTGATTATAGATTTTCACTTCCTGTCTTCTTTTTTTTTAAGATAATAAACCAATTAATGGAATGTGACTTGAATTCAATAGAAAATTGTTCAATTTGTCATAAAAAAATGTCAGTAAATGAACGTTATGATTTAGTTGATCAAGTGATACATCGTAATTGTTTCAAATGTTCAATATGTAATGAAACATTAACGTAAGTTATTTCAATTTTAAACCAAGAAAATATAATGTACAAACTATCTAATTGGTTAGTGTATTTTGAAATGGATTGCATCTTCACCGTCTACGCACAAATAAGTGCGATAGATATATAATCATATGTCCAAATTGATGGAATGATTAATTAACTGACTATGACTCAGCTACTTATTCTAAGTTCCATAGTAAATTGTTGTCACAATACAACACAGCAAGCTAGCAACACTGTTTATCTGAACTCACTAAAAGAGCTCACATACATAAAAACTGATCGATTAGTATTCAGTGATCATCAAAGATCACTGATAATCTCAAACATGGCTCTATGGCCATTTATACAATAAACTTGAAAAGTCATTTAGATTCTGTTTAGGCCATTGAATCTATTGAGATTGATATCTAGTTGCTACGATTATCTTACAATAGACTAGTGAACTAATCCACGATATAATCTTTGCTTATGTCTTTGTCTTTATTTATTTCCTTTTAATAAGTTATTGTGTACTAACAAGTGTGAAATATATTTCTAGTTCTGATTTTAAACTAGATCAAAGTAATTGTTCAATGCCCCAATGTTCTTGGTTAAATTCTGGCTAATTTTATTTGCATAGTCGAAATCATGAGTCAATTTAAGCTAGACCACCATGGAAAACCTGGAAGCACTGGTTGGCCATTTCATCCTATTATGGGACTCCTCAGCAGTGCGCATCCACGATCCCACCTCGCGAAATTCAAACCCAGGACCTAACAGTCTCGCGCCATAGCACTTAACCTCTAGACCACTGGGCCGGCATCCACCGGTGTTAATGTCTAACTTCAACCAATCCACGACGTTTGAGCAACCGTTCACCAATTGTCCTCAGTTAGTTGATATCTCAACAACAGACGTGGTTATAGTCCACTGGTCACTCCTTCGCATTGGCTTCAATTGACTCATCATTTCGACTATAAAAATACTGAAATCCCCACAAAACCCTTTCTCATCTATAATTTTATTTGTTTATAAATATTCATTTTTATTTTTATGGAAAACTTTTACAAAACTACTTAGATCCATAATCGTTTTATTATCGCAAATTAAATTTTAATCATTGACTTTTTTTGTTTTAAAATTTCAGTGATAAAAGTGCAATATTTCAAAATGACAACTGGTGTTGTGCACTACATTTTCGATATAATATGGATATTATCAATGTACAATAAAAAATAATACCTTGAGGACATCAAGAATCTCAACCATAATAATGAAGGAATGAAAAATTACATCACATTTCTTATTTCAATCAAACAAAATCTAATCCTTACAATTAACATTAAAAAACACACATTTCTGTCTTCTTGTTTCGATTTATTTAAATATTTAGTTGGTTTCTTTTTTGCAAATAGTTTTTCAAATTTTACAGTAATTCTAAGATGAATACTACTATTACTGCTATAGCAAATACTAATATTAGTACAAAATGTATATCATGTTTCATTACGTAATTCTTACAGAATGTTTTTTTTTTCAAAGAGAAAATTCTTTATATGTTTAGTTCAATTGATTGTGAACATTCAAATTTTCTTTCTAAAACTGGTCATTGAATGAATGAATGCCTAAGAACAAAGTGACAATGATGATGAACAGATAGAGTTATTTTTGGAATTCCATTTTTCATTCATATTTTGGGTTCTAATCATTGAATGTGAATGTTTTTGTCTAATTTATATTGTACTTTATTATTCTAATTCGTCGTTCTTTTAATAATCATTTTGTTCATATCTTATTCACAGATAATTCATTGACATCAACAACAAACTTAGCACAAAAACAAGAGATCGGTATGTAGTTATTATAAGAAAAGAAAAAGAGGGAAACTTTTTTGGTTTTTGATGTATCCGTATATATATATATATATATATATATATATATATATATATATATATATATATATATATATTTGTGCATGTGTTTGTTTATGGTAAGAGATGTATAGACATAGTCAATCTTCTGTGAAATTTTTTGTTTATCAAATTGGCATGTGATATGCAATGAACAAAAGTATGTGCATATGAGCATTAGTTGAATGCTTATTTTTTTCTTCACTGTGTAGGAAATAAGTTGGGAAAAAGGATACAAGGTTACTAATAAATTTTATTATGATGGATATTTTTCAAAAGCTTTAAAAATATAACGGCATTCATATTTTTCAGCATAAAACTGTTATGTTAAAAGATCTTTTTCTTCAAATTGATTTTCCTCATGAACTGATACTGGTTAAAATTTCTTTGAAAACTATGAAGCGATGGCTTGAGTCTTATCAGAAATGTTTGCAAACGAGCCTATGTCGGATTTACATCATGATCTTCATATTCTGTACCAAAGATTGTAAAGCTAAGCAATGTAAACATCATTTAATAGAGCACATTACAATTTCAATGAATTTGTGCTACTTGATTCTAAGTGCAATTACAAATTTTCAGTGAAATTTGTAATTAGTGGAAATAAGACAGTTATCAGTTGTTGTGCTCAATACCAAATCAATTAATATAGAAAATACAAACGACTACGTGCTGAGTCAGTGATCTATCGGTATTGAGCTGGATGTTCCTGTGTTCTTCTTAAAATTGGCTAATGGATGCACATTTCCTGATAGTCCTAAACAATTGAAAAACATTCCCTAGATACCTACTGGTTCTCTATAGTGTATTAGTTGGTTTGAATTTGTTTGGAGATCTGTCAGCGATTCGAGGAACACTCAAATCAACAATAATTCATTTTTTTCAGAAATCAGCCATTCAAAACTTTTTCTGATGATGTTTTTAAGAAATCTCTCTGATATTCAACCCACTGTGTTACTGAGAAATTTAAAGTATTTTGAGAATGTTGTTTAATATATGATGGAATGTTTTTTAGAATGTTCTATTTAACTATCTTAGATTTCGATAACTAGAAAATATGTGTCTCTCATCCAAGGTTACTTACGATGGAAGGTCAAAATCAACATAAAAGAATGATATATATTTTTGAAATACTTATTGACTTTTATTAGTGTTTCTAATATTATTATCCCTATCATTATTATCATTATTAGCGTTATTTAATATTATAATTTTGGTACAATATAGAATTCTCAGCACAAAGTATTTCAACAAGTTTCTGTTTCTTACTTCTTGGTCAATCCTGATAATAAATACTGAGTGATCGCCAGTTAGAATTTCGCAGTCCAGTCAATGGACATCTAAATAATGTACATTCTTTTCGCTACATATTGCTAGCAACCACGATATCTCTGATTAGGCCTTTTGTAACTTGTACAACGAAAAGTTGTACGCTTTGCAGAAACGCATAGAGATAGATAACTTGTTGAAATATCTAGATGTTAGGAACAGGTAGCCCAGATGTTCAAGCAGGCCGCCGAAGATGATGACCAAGGAGTGAGCTTTTTCTTCAAGTTCTGACAAAGTTAAAAATCTTATTACTATAGATTTATTCTTTTATGATTAGCAGGAATTAAGTTTATCTTAAATATCAAGATTGGTAATCCTTCTGAAAACCTGATTTTCAAGTAAATCTGTAGACATGTATTCAACCAATCGTCATAAAAGCAATAATAATACTTAAATTGTCATATAATTGCATAATTTTATTTAATTCATTCCTAATTTCTGTGGTGTTGTATGCAAAAAATAGAACAAGGATCAGTTTAAATAATATTTTAGAGCAAATATTTTTCAATTACAGTTTGGTTTAGTAGGCTCTTTCCATTTTCTGATCAACTTAATGTGGTCAATGTTTAGGATATATTCTCGGTATTAATTATAGTTTGATAATAAATTCATCAGTAGATCTATTTAATAAATTGTTTTGCATCGTTTTCTCGGTATTCAATTGAGGAGCATTTCCTATGGTTGAGAGAAAGTAACTACTAACTTTGACCGCCAGAAACGTCACATTCAGTTCATGAATCGTTTCTTATCAAGAACGTGAAGAAGTAGACGTAATTTACAACAGCCTGAAATGACACTAACCTCAGGAACCGACTAATTTTTGTTTTATATTTAATGATGATTATTTTTCTGAGTTTATTGAGAAATAATATAAATTTCAAAGAAAACAAACTACTGCAAATTACAGTTTGTTTTTGTTAAAATGTCCTTTCGTAGAGATGAATTTGTTGAGAAAATGTATAAAAATGAAAGTATCCAAATGTGTCTGGTTAGTAGATTAATTTCAGGGTAAAAGACTTGATAATATGTTGTACACGCGGACATAAAAGATGAAAAGATTCTTGAGATAACGTAAAATCAACGATTTTCTCATTTCCAAACACTTGGTGTTAATTCATAGCTTAATTCCTTTTGACTCAAAATTGTTACTCATATTGTGAGCGAATAATGTTACAGATTAATCAATATTTATTGTATTACAGCTACATTGAACAGACTGAGGGCTAGAGGTATGATCTTTATTGATAAGCTACTAGCTACTCTTTTCAGCTTAGCAAACAAGTGACTAGAACTCTTGAAAAGTCAGTAAAACCCTAAAAATCAAATGTAATAATAAAAAAGACTTTTGTTTGACAAACTATAAATTTCTAATAGATTTAAACTGAAGATCTTACCAAAACTGATCAAAAATAAAATAGAAAAAGTACTTGTTTTCAGTCTATTTAGTATTATATTTTCACTACTTTTATTCATTTATTAATTTAAACACATAAATATTGGTACAAGGAAGCACCAGATATATATGCGCCGCACAAATCTCATTTGATTTTTGTGAGGGCTGTGATACTACCCAGGTGCCCAAACTGAAGCAAGTGGTTTTCCTAGGGGGTCACACCTCGAGCCTTCAACATAAAGATCTGATCCACAAGGCAGAAGCGCAACATCAGGAAATACAGTCCCATGGTAGCTGGTGACCAACGATTGATTCATACACCATTTGTTCCCTCAGGATACTGGAGCCCTTGTGCACCATTGGTTTGGAATCAGGGTTTTCTAACTCCCCTAGATAGACTTTCCGTATCCACCAATCCGGTTAAAGCGCCGAACATTCGCTTTCTGTCCTCTCAATTTCGTAAACAACACTCCTGATACGAGAAGGCAGTGAGTGGGACTTCCGTGGCAGAGGCTATATATTCGCGTGGTCATGTGAGAGCGTTTGGAGAGGAAGAGCGGACTCTCTCCACTCTCGGCTGTACTAGAACATTTGGGGGGCATTTCTACTACTATATTTGATCATCTTCGAAATATTCATTTTTTTCATAATTTCTGTAAATTTGTATATACATTGTAATTATTATATATTAATAAATGAGATTTTCAAGAACTTTCAATGAATCATCTACTTTACTTTACTTCATTGTATAAATCAATTCATGAATATATATATTCTTGCATATGTATGCTGTTATGCCTATGAAAAATATTATAGTCTTTTTTCTAACATTTAATCAATATAAATTATTGTTATTGTTATTACTGTTTGTTCTTTATTATAAATGATTAAAAATTGTTTGTTTACAAATGAACTTGATTTCCGTAGTTTTATTTATTTGTTTGTTTGGAGGTTTGTATATTTCTTTCAAGACAAGACAGTTTACATTGATTACTCACCTGTAATATAAACAAATACATAGATTAGATTATATTCTTGATAATGATAAATTTTCTATACCTTAAATATGTAGTTTTAACATTTTGAAATTATGACTTACGGTACTATCACTGAATGATTACATATGAAAAGGTATAACTATTGGCATAATTAATTCTTTTATTCTTTCTTTCTTTCAAAACTTCTAAAGGTAAATGAAAAAGGACTTATAAGATATGTTCATACAAGCATGTACATATGTGTATGATCAGTTGACATATGTAGATTCAATCTAATTTATGTTTATGATTCGATATGATACAAGGTATTATAGTACTTAATTACATGGAAAATTTACGAGAATTTGATACATAAATATTAGTTTGATATAGTTGAAATAATGAGTCAATTGAAGCTAGACTGCCATGGAAAACCTGGAAGCACTGGGTAGCTGTGTTCGTCCTATTGTGGAACTCCTCAGCAGCGCGCACCCATGAAACTGCCGTCTAGTGCTTCCAGGTTCTCCATGGTGCTCTAGCTTCAATTGACTCATGATTTCAACTATATAAAATTACTAGAATCTCCTTAAAACCCCCTTCTGATAAATATTAATTTCATTGAAATATGATTGTATTTATATGAAAATTTTATTAAATAAACTTATGAATATAGTCCACTATACTGGTAGATGTAATATAAATTAAATTATCATATATAGAGTTGAAAAACGGATATCTTTTTTTAAATACTTTCAGTAATGCATGTGAACATCTGTTTGTTAAAAGCGATCAATTGAATATCCCTAACATAAATCTTAATGCTTCATCTGTTTTGAACACTGGTGGAAAGTAGAAAAAAGTGAATAAATTTTCAATAATTGTTTTACTCTCAGAGAGATGACAATACTCATCTATCAGTAGTTTGGTGAAAACAAGTCTCATACCAGAATAAACAGAATGAGAGAAATAACCATTTAAACTACAATATGAATAACCGTCTGTTGTGTTTTAGACAACATAATAAGTTGGATTAATCACATGTATTCGTATCTCACATACGTCTCTTCGTTTATAGAGTTATGCCTTAGAATATCAGTCAACGTTGGGGATTTCAACAAATTAATACAACCGCAAGTCTCCCTTAACCTAGAATATTTTGTTAGCAGTTTATTTAATCAACATGGAGGTGAATATTAATGTTATCGGAAACTTGGAGTAAGCAGCCGTTGAATGGATATTTTTTGTGACAGCCACATAGCGTATTTTATCAGCATGTACTCAATTTCTCATGTTTAGATTAATCAGCAAAATAAAAACTTATTACTTAATTATGAAGAATATCCATTTTTAATGTCTTGTCGAAATTTAGATGAAAAAACTGAAAATGGGAACAAAGATACTAAAAAATCTGACCTTGAACGACGAATATCAAATGCCAGTGGTGGACGAATGGGAAATATTCGAAATAAGTTTGAATCAGGCGAAGTGAATAATGATAAAAGGAAGAACAAAAAGAAATCTGCGCCAAAAATGAAATATGCCGGTGTGGAATCAGCTAAAACAAGATTTATTGAGGAAGCTACAAAGGCTACAATGAGCAAGGTAGAAGATGGGCCTAGGAAACCAAAAGAATTCACTCCACCACCGGATGGTGTTGCTGTTGGTATATTAGAAAGTAATCCAAAGCCAAGAGCACCAGATGTGGTTACATCGGATGACATGTTTGAACCAGTTGATTTAAAAGAGATTAGTGAAAAAACAAAAAATTTAAGGGAGAAATTTCGAAATATGGAAGCAACTGGTGGACAGGTAAGTCTCCAATAAATGGAATAAATTCTCTTTATTACTTGATCATAAATTTATTGCACAACGGTGTTTTTACTCGTATTTACAGGCCATAATGTAATACGGTCATATGTTTTTCAGGCTTCTTCTTAAACTTTATAGAGATCTGCACTAAAAGATTTTGGGTATCTTCATTTGAGAAATATTAAACTGATTAAACTGTTATTCCATACAATAGACCGATAGTCCATAAACAGAGATAAAGTAGACGTGAAACTAAATGAACATTAATACATCGTAAAATATGTTGTACGGTGGAACAGCGATATTGGACTTCATAGTAAACAATCAGATGTGGTAGAAAAATAAGTAGAAAATAGTCTAGTTTTAAAATAAATTGTAATAAGAATTCTCTAATTTGCTGAAAATATTTCAGTTATGTGGATGAAAATGTGTCGTTCTACTTAGAAAACATAAGTAGTGTATTAAAATCGACCCAATTATCACTATTTCCAGTGTTAATTGTTTAGGATACGTTTTGTTTTAAAATGTGAACAAGATAGATGAATGGAAATGTTTATTTTCCTGAAGTTTGCTAAAAAAAAACGTTTGGATTCATGAATAACGATTGAAAAAAGTTAAAAGCAATAATAAATCTATTTTTACATCCCATTGCGTAGAAAAATTGTATTTCTGACATTTCGCGACTTATTGTAAACCACCTCTTCAGAGTAAGTAAGTAGGTGAAATTAATTAAAACAAGTTTCCTCTGTACCACATAAACGTTTGTTAATTTAATTCGGCTACTTATTTACTCTGAAGAAGTGGCCTACATTACGCCACGAAACGTTAGAAATACAATTTTTTACTCAATGGGATATAACAAAATAGATTTTAGTCGAAGTCATGAACTGACCAATGTTAGACCATCATTGAAAACCTGAAATCCCTGGACAGCCGTTTTGTCCTAATATGAGGCTCTATAGGTGACAAAGTAGGAATACAAAAGTGGAACCCTGAAGAGTTGTAATAGTAACTGGATGTAATACTGAGGTGATGAAGAATACATTTAGACTAGGTCAATGTCTTTCTTCGTTTTATGTTTTCTGAGCGAGATAATTTACTGGAAGAGCTTTCATTGTTGTTCTAGACAACATCTTCAGTGAAAGTGAACGTTATATATATTCAGCTGTTTTACAAGCGCCAAATAGATCTTTTCTGTTGGCCTTCTTTGTGATTCATTGTTTTTGCACATGTTATTTCCTTAATTGGTTATTACACTCCAGACGACTGTTTAAATAGATAAACCTTTCCATATGCTTTGATGGATTGGATCTATGGAGATAAGTTTAATACTTGAAGATAAATTTGAGTTCCATGCTTCTAGAAACTCTTTAGCGTTCGTAGAACTTTCTCTGTTCATAACTTCAACGTTTTCGCAGTTGGATTAATGACCGTTGTTTCCTAAATGGACTGATATAGGTAACAAATTATCTTGTCGTTTCTATGGTAGCCTATATTCATGTATGTGTAAATAAAAAGATTCTCACTGTGCAATTTAATTCTTTCGTTATTTGACGCTGTTTATTTCGCATATGATATTGTATTTGCCTGGATTTTTACTGTGTTTCAGTATTTATAAAATGAAAATATTGCAATGGAAAGAGATCATCCTACTCTGTGTTGCAAACAACTCAAAATCACTTAAGAGGGTACAACTCCACTAAAATGACATAACATTGTTTCTAGTGAAAACAGTCAAATAAATTCAACTTAGTATTGTTTGTTTGAATCTTCCCATCGATTGTGAATTAAGGTATATCGAGGCAATACGCACAGTATGCACATATGCCAATTAGAGACTGACCAGTTGCAGTCCTAACAAATCGATGGGAAGATTCAAACAAACAATACTAAGTTGAATTTAAACTTCACCCATCGCACAAGCAAGTGGCTATCAGGACTCAGTGACCGAGTGGATAACGCGATGGCGTTTGAAGCGAGGGTACTGGGTTCGAGTCCCAGAGTGAACATCAACTGTGAGATGCAGGTACATCCAGCTGACGAGTCCCAAATAGGACGAAACGCGCGTCCTGGATTCCACTGCTAGCCACTATCCATCTCTGCTAGTCAAATAAATGCTATAAAATATTTAATTCAATATGAGTCTATAAAAAGAAGAGCGTATATATGTAAAACAACCTCTAGGTAAACATGATCAGACTGTAGAAACAAAATAATGCTATTTATTGCATTCAAAATTTCTTATTGGAACTGTGGTAGTGGAAAACAAACAATAAATAACCAACAATATTTAATACTAATTTTAATCTAATACAGGTTTTTTTACAACGGACTTCAATGTACTGACAATAAATATTTTAAGGGTGGTGGAACACATACCTAAATGGCTACAGAACCAAATGAATTCGAATAGTCAAATAAGATCACAGGATAGACAAACATCTTCCTCTATTGCGAAACATTTAGTTGAAACTGGTCATAAGGTTGACCAGATTAGCATTTGTAGTGTTGTACAAAAGCCTTCAAGGACGTATACTAAGGTTTATTGAAGCCTTGGCTATACGGAAATTGAAACCCCCTTTATGTGTTCAAAAACAATTTGTTCTTACCCTTAACCTACCCTGGTAATGCTTATTTATTATCCAGAGTAGTCATCACATTGTTTTGTGTACTTTATTTATTTTCTTACCTTAACCTGTCTAGTTGACCTTTTAATTTTCATACAAAAAATGTCTTAACAAGTATATGTGATCAGATTGTTCGAAATGTATTGCGCTAATATATAACATAATTCTGATAAACTTCGTCTTCTCATTGCATTATCGAAATTTATCAAAGGGACTAATTGTTTTAAATATTTTATAATCACTTATTTTCATTCTTGGTTATTCATTGATTATCAGAAAGGGGTTTTGTGGAGATTTTAGTAATTTCGTATAGTTGAAATCATGAGTCAATTGAAGCTAGACCACCATGGAAAACCTGGAAGCACTGGACGGCCGTTTCGTCCTATTGTGGGACTCCTCAGAAGTGCGCGTCCACGATCCCTTCTCGAGAAACGGCCATCCAGTGCTTACAGGTTTTCCATGGTGGACTAGATTTAATTGACTCATGATTTCAACTGTATAATATTCATTAGTTAACTAACAAAGAAATCGTTTAAATTGCTTCATTTGAATAGTATACTACATCAATAATGATCTTGATGTCCTAGAGTAAAAACTTTTGCATTCGCTGAAATGAGACTGTATTAATAATTATTCGTAAAATAATGGTTATAATAATCCTTTTCCATTCTAATATGTGCGTTTTAGAGCATTGATGAAGAGAATCGTAAAAAAAGTTCATTCATTGATGAATCAATTACAGTTGCACCGGAAGCTACAAAAAATGCAAGAGCACGATGGAAGGATATTGAAAGTGGTAAAACTGAAAAGGATGTGTCATCAGAACGTCCAAAACTTGATATACATGACGTAAGTGAAAATTGTTGTGTTTGGTGCTTTTGTAGTTTTACTGAGAACGGATGAATAGAAGTAATGACAAAACAAAATATGCTATCAAATTTAAAATCTCGTTAGCCAACCGCAGTTTATTTGATATGCCGCACATTATTGTTACTCGAAACAAAAACATCATTTTCTCTTTAGTAATGAGTTCATCATATCACTTGAGAACTTTTGATGAACTACCTTTCAATGGTACTTTCTTTTTCTGAACACTTGTTCAGTTATTAGAACTCTATGGAAATTCAAGAAAGACAAAGTTCAATAACTATGAACTGTTTATATGTGTCTTTTAATGAGATGTCATGAAATGTAACTGTCAGATCCCGCACTTAGACGATGACTACTAAAAATTTCATCTTCAAGGATACACTTGATAAAATCATTTACAGTTCTATTTTAAAATTTCAATTAGTAAAACGTTAGAAATCTATCTTCTCTTCTTATGGGAAACATTAATTTCAATAATAATTAGAAACGATACCTAACATTTCCCTAACAATATCAACATTGAAATATTTGTTTGACGAAATTACTGAATATGAATGTTTTAAAATACTTAAATGATTCGTGAACACTTAGTTTCTAGAATTCGGTGTTAATAAAGTCCTCATCAGTAAATGATATTCTACAAAGGACTTTGTAGTGAAAATAATTTATTATTGATCATTTGTTGCCCCACTTAATTGTATATTGAATGAATTCAGTTAACAGTAGTTATCCATTATATGTCATCATATAACTAAGATGAAAAATTCTCAACAGGTAATCCATTTATCAATAGACAATGTATAGACATTATATATTTGCTTCTGATTACTGACTGATCAACTGCGGTCATACGCCACTGAGTCGTTATTTTATTGTAGTTTCACAAACACGATCTTACACTAGATAACACTAGCGCCTTTGAATACAAAATAAATACCTTTATATCGTCAAGATGACACATAAAAGTTCACATGTCTAATCTCATTAAATTTACAATACCATAAAACGTATGGCATCAGTTAGTAATGATAACTAACTTTAAATTCCATAGTCTCCGCAAATCTTTCCATGGTAATAATTTTTCGTAATTAATAAATCAAAACGATTATAAGTGACAGATTTATAATAACAGTTCAGAAATCAGTGAGAAAATTGATGAAAAATGTTAAATCTATCATACTGATTAGGAAAATTTAGTTAGACAGAAAAAGTAGGCTCCTATCTATATTTGAAAAGTCATTCTTATAGACAGTAGGTGGAAAATATTTCCACTAACCTTTTTTATCAGCAAGGAATTTAATTTACACCATTCAGCAATGGACTATTACATTAGGCTTCGGTCGGATTTCGTTAACCACTATCATTTAATTTATCTTGAGAGAATTCAACTGTTCTTTCAATAAAAAAGTAATCGCTAGAAACATACGACTCTTAGTCCCAATCATCTAATGAAAATAGTTAGATTAATCTTGTGACATTTTCATGAGATTTTTCATAAAGTGAGGTATTTAACCACAAAATATTATAGCAGAATGAGAAACATTAGATTTATTTCTTAGGTTTTAAATAGTATTTCCTGAAAAGAATCTTTATTCCTGAAATTCCAACTGTTGTATTTATATGACATTTACATTATCGATCTCAGATGTTAATATACTATGGGGAAACGTGATAATCATAGTTTGTATTGATTGTTTGAATCTCCCGTTTGGTGTTTGGGATTGAAAGTAACCAGTCTCTTTAGACATATGTTCACCCTGTAGGGTCACTTCACCGTTGCCATTACGTCACGAACATTTTAAGCAGAGATGGATGGTGAGTATCAGTGGAATTTAGGACTCGTGATTCGTTTTACCAAGGACTTGTCATCTATATATACCTCTCTTCAGGGGCCGATGTCCACTCTTTGACTTAAACAAAGTGCCTTCCTTTTCAAACATCAAGGCGTTATCCACCAAATGACAATATCGAGACAATCTGCACAGGATTTATCCAAACACCTATGGGAAAAACAAACAACGGATACGAATTAATTGAAATTGAACACATCGTACAACCCGGTGACTATCTGGAAGTAATAGTTAAGTGGATTACACGTTGATATTTGAAGTGAAAAGTACCTACCATCCACCTCAGCTTCAAACATTGTTTCAGTTCTCATAGTAATATGCTACAGTGAAAATGCCAGTGGTCAGTTTCTATAATTAATTGGTAAATCTAATTAAGCTAATCCTTTAAATATATATGTATATATTAGTATATATTCATATATTTCTTGAAGCTACTACTGTAACGAGAATTTTTGCATTCTGATTGTTTCTAAATCCACTGAAGTTGTAATTTCCCCGAAATATTTAAATTTATATCTATAGGACAAGAATGTTCAACTCAAATTATAGTCGTCATCGTATAATTTCAAATTTAAGTTTAATACATCAATAATATTAAAAGGAAAATTGACAACCCTAAAAGTAGCTGAGTTTTAGTAAAATGGTGTCTTTATTCATTTCCCTAGAGATACTTTTTATTCCCCAGATTTCATTAAATAAATCTAGACGATGTGTTACTGATATTCACCAAATAATTCACAAAACTTTTGGTCGATGTAGTTAGGGAATTTGGATTACTTTGTTCAGCCTTAGTTACATATTGCATATAGGTTTACAGGTAAAAACTTATGGTTTTTGGTAGTTTCACAGGTCATATAACCGTCAATGAAGCAAATTTAACTGCTTTAGCCTTCGTTTACCTGGAAAACAAGATCTGATTTATAACTTTGTTTAAAAAGTCCAATTCAAAACGTTAACGTACTTCATGTTTAAATTTATTATCAATGAACAGTATGAAATTAAATTATAAAAAGTCATGGATATGTTTATGAATAAAATGTTTCTATAGTTCAGGAATCATTTAGTCTTTATGCATTAAGGTTTTTAGGGCTGTATTACTAATCCGTCATATCAGTCAAACTATATAGAAGACAATGTTGAATGTGTCTCTTAATTTCATGGATCGGTTGAAGTTAGACATTAACACCATTGGATACCGGCTCAGTTGTCTGGAGGTTAAGCGCTCGCGCGCGGGACTGGTAGGTTCTGGGTTCAAATCTCGAGAGGCGGGATCGTGGATGGGCACTGCTGAGGAGTCCTGTAATAGGACGAAACAGCCGTCTAGTGCTTCCAGGTTTTCCATGGTGGTCTTGCTTGAATTGACTCATGATCTCAACTACTGAAATTACTATAATGTCCACAAAACCCCTTCTGATATATATCGATCCGAATCGGTTGTTTTATCGATAAAGTAACTAATTTGACATCACAAAATCTTTTGAATAGTTTCAAGTCAACAATAAGTTCCATAATTTTAGCACCGATATAACTTTGATCCGGATTTAAAAGACTCCACTGTTTGATTTTGTTCAGCATATATCACGAACCATTTAGTACAAAAAAATTTTCTCAGTACTTTGTCGAAAGCAAACATAAAAACGACATATACAAAAAAATGCATTGCTTCACTTTACATTTATGTTAAATGCAAATAAATGATGTTTATATTTGGGCTGTAGAATAAGTAGTTTGTTCATGAAAAACTAACCGAACACTTTATTACGAAATTCATCACAGAGTATTAGGGAGTTTTGACATAGACTACTGAGACAAACTGAATAAGTAGTTACTGTGTCAACATAATTAATTTACTATTTTTAAAATAATACCGAGAATCTTACAGTAAAAAAACATAGCTCTTTTTAGAAATGTAATGCAAATAATTGTAAATAATCATTGGAAATAAAGGAAGAATTATGTTTTTTAATAAACATCAAAAAGTAGCTGAAAAACACTTTCTATGTTCAAAGAATGGTCAAGTGATTGAAAGCGAAGTACGTTAAATAAATATCGGAAATTATTGTAAGCAAAGATGGATAGTGGCTAACAGTGGAATGCAGGACTCGTGTTTCGTCCCATTTGGGACACGTCAGCTGGATGTACCCGCATCTCAGAGTTGATGTTCACTCTGGGACTCGAACCCAGTACCTTTCGCTTCAAATGCCATCGCGCTATCCACTCAGCCACTGAGTCCTGATAGCCAATTATTTGTAACTGTTTTTTTAGTTGTTTGAGTGACACATTTACTTTTTTTAGAAGTTAACTGTGTTCATATAAATTTAGAACCATAAACATTATCATATGAATGTAAATTTATTTTTGATATAATAATAATTTTCAATATATTTTTGTTTATTAATTTTTATCACCTTATTTATTGCATATAATCAAAGGGTTATGGAGGTGTTTATGAGAATGAACCTGAAAAATTTGAAAATATCGCTAGAGCTGGTGAAACAAAAAAAGATTTACCATCTGGTGTAAGTGCTAAAGAAAGACGTGAATTATTTTTAAAGAAAGCTGCTGATACTTCTGTTGTAAAGAGAGATAGTATAAAAGTGAGTAAATGTATCCAAATGATTATTGATGTGAAAGTAACAATAACGTTTTTTCATAACCAGTTTATGGTAATCGATTAAGGGGTTTAAATTTGCTAAAGAGGGTAGTAATGTACAAATAAGTTAACTTATTGTAAGACATCTCATAAATATTAAGTTTAAATTTAATAAATTTCAGATTGCAATGAGTTAGCACTACTATAATCAACCTGTTGCATTCAGATTATAAATTTTACATTATTCTTTTTAATTTCATATTTGAGCTGAACTTTAACAGTCGCTGAAACGAATGGTCAACAATGTTGATGACACAATAAGCTACATTACAATATATATAGTGTGCTCATATGCTATAAGATACATTGAAACAAACAGAATTTATATAAGAAAGTATCTTAATTTATAACATCTTCAAACATTTAGCCTTATTTTCTCTTTGCGACAACTTTGGTTTTGCTATTTCTTTTAATTTAACAATCATTGCTTTTAAAATGTCCTATAGTTTTACTTTTTAATTCCTCATCATCCATAAACTCTAATGTATATTAGAGCAAAGCATATTGAGAATCTGATTGAATCAATATTTTCCGCTTATATAAGTTCTAATTTAAAATATGGAAATTCTTAAGTCACTTGGGGATCCGTGTGCATTTAAAGTACTCAATGAGTTCCTAAAGTTTAATGCTCATCTCACAGAAGCGAAAAACTTTGTTGAAATTGGTTAATGATTGTATACAGACTGATAAATATCCTGAAATATATTGGAAATCTTTACGCCGAAACAAACTCATCTTATTTCCAGAACTCTTGAACGACAAGCACTCAACCAAATAGATCAATAAAAATACACATAATCGATCTGGAAATAAATCTTTTGCAAAAGAAATCTACTTTCAATAACCTATCACCGGAAATAGAATCATCATAGCAAAAGGTAGATCCGAGAAATTGGGGACAAAACTGATGAAATCGCTTGTATGTCAAAAACCAGAAAGAAAGTTCCCTATGGACCTAGAGCCATACGTTTATAATTTTTCAAGTGTTACGCTATAGTGCAATTAGAAGCTTTATCGCTCAGCCCTGGATTCTGAAACTATGGAAATAGAATAAATCAACTAGATACCGATGTGCAGTTTGAGAATTTAGTTTTACAAAGACCAGTTTTGGTCCCCACCTTACACTATGAACTTACTAGGTTTAAGACAGCGTTGGTTGATATCTGCCAACGATACAATTATACTAAATATACCATAAAATCACCACTTACAAAACAGCATCGAGATGTTTTACATAAGCTTAGAAAATATAGAACTCTGGCCACAACCAAGCCAGAAAAAGGAGGACGACTGGTTCTAATGAACAAAACTGTTCACACCTATCAAACGAACTCGGTTTTGAGTGATCCGAGTAAATAAATATACGCTTCATTGTCCAATTATCTGAACATCTCTCATTATGCAATCATATGGTTTTTATAAATGTTATTTCAACATCCATGTTTTTTAAGTCATTGACCAATTTCCTATTATTAAACATGAATTCAAGCCATTGTTACTCTTAACACAACTAGTACGCCTATCATCACACCATCAATTTGTACTCCTCACCTATTATGTTTATCTACTCCACTGTTATCACTGACTAATGAACTGCCTTCATTGGTTTAATAATTCGGTATATATATAGGAGTGTAGCCTGATGAGGATCTAGCTGATGACAATACTTTTTCGCTTGTTTATGTTGTTCTAATTCACAATACAGGAATTTTTACAAGAATATTGAGTTGAAGATAAATAGCTGAGTGTTTTGGTATAATTTCATGAATTTTGTACCTAAGTTAGCATTTTTCAATGACAGCATACAAAGTTAGTTCGAATTTCTTTGCTTGAGTGGTGAAGAATCACACCTATGTAAATCAGACTTACTAATTAGAAGAATAACTGAATTTTAAAAAGTTTCCGAACGCGTTATACATGTGTACTGTTGAAAATCCTTAGACAAAAGATATCTGATCGTTCCTTTATTTTTTAATACTTACTCAAAAATGATACTAATTTGCTTTATTCATCTCTATAGCTTATAGATATTAATGCTGCCGAAAGTGGAATATATGAGAATGAGCCAACTCGACGTGATAATGTAGTCCGTTATGATGATGATCAAACAGATGACTATCCAATTAATTCTGTGAAATGGGCATCTGAAGCGAAAAACAGATTCATACAGGAAGCATCTAAATCACAGATAACAACAGGAAGTAACAAGGTAAGTCATACTGTAGAAAAGTATGTATCCCGATAAATCAATAACTGTACTGAATACAAACAAAAAAATTTTCAGTAACTTCATCTCTACACTTTACAGTCATCAGTCCATAATTCTTGTAATGGGTAATATAAAGCATACACACTGTAGAGTATGTTTGAAGCAGACATATTAAAAGTGGTAAACTATTATATTTGTACTTACGAAATGCATTATTTGTAAAGTTGAATGGTCATATAAGAAGGGTAAGAATATATCGCTGAAATAAAGTGATTTGGAATCAGTACACTAAAATCATGTGAATATCGAACACAATAAGAGAAATTTTGTTGGATTAATTATGATAAACAGAAAAAATGTTTGTTTATTCAAGTTCCGTGTAACAGTACTAACAAACCCGTTTAGATATTTATTTAATTGGACAGACCCATATGCCTACGTATATTTACGGATAATGATCAACAGCATTGTCACTAAGTTATACATGTTGGTAAAAGCATGTGATAAAGTTACCTAAATAGTAAGAAATTAACATGATGAATTCTTCCAAAGCCGGTTAACATTTTATTTTAATTTACATCATATAAGTAATGGTCAACTGAAGATAGCTCTAACCAGTTATGTGAACCTTTTAGAACAATGATTTCAAAAATAATGCATCCCTATTAAATTCGACTAAGATCAGTTCAATCATATTTCAACTTCGTATAAAATGTTCAGGATGAAATTATGTTCATTTCATACTATTTATAACTACTTTCTCGAAATAAAATATATTATTTGTTACTCTATTGCACATGTTACATCCATTACAAACAGCCGTATTCTGTGTGAAGATATGCTCATACTAGTTAGAATTTACATTTGAAATGAATGATTTCTAACGACATGTAATAAATTAACATATTGAAAATCAAACCCCAACCACTAATGTTTAATTCTCAATCTTGACTGGAACACATTGTTACACGGTACAGTGCCTGATGTTGAATTATTTTAAGCATGATTATTGTCACCATTTAATACTAAGTAACAATTATATAATACTCAGTGTTAAAAATCTTTCAAAGATACCCTCAGTAGCTCTTATTAAAATAATAGGCATCCTCTATTTTTCTCTGTCTTCAAAATGGTTTCATTTGTTTTTTATAAATCATTCAGACTATTTTATTGGTTGAAGATGGTCATACAAATGGTAATGGTGCATCAAAACAAGCACGATATACTACACAAGCTAAACAAGCCTTCTTAGAACGTCAAAAACAAGCGGAAGAAGCTGCAAAGAACAAAAGTCGACCAGATATCGTAAGTTGATGCACCGTTCCTTTGGTGTGTGTGTGTACCCATCATTCGGTATCGAATAGTTCTAATTAATTAATCTAAAAAATAGGTTATAGGGTTGAAGAACGATTAAACATTATAATCCAGACCATACTTTGGTTTTGTCGGAAAATTCAAAATTCCATCAGATAAACATTCTCTATAATATACATTTTACCTCAATATCTTTCACCAACTGTTTTCTTTCACATACTACTAATAATACGAGGGTGTCATTTTCATGAATCTTAACTCTTCATTGACTATACACTATAATTTACAGTATATGTGTGGTAAATTAAATGTAATTAAAGGGTCATAAGGGGTGTAGAGACGAAACTGAGTTATGCCTTCACTGATCATGCTGATATTTAGTTGTTCATACCGGTATAACTAACACGTCAAGTGACCCAATAGATGCAATTATTTTTTAGACTGTCTTATTACCATAGTGTGCACTGGTATCAGTAGACGAAAACAAATTGATAGTATTAGAGAGTAACAGGTATCTGTAACTCCAGATACACTAGATTTGTGTGAGAGTATTTATAAACATTTGTCAGGAATATGGATTCAACTGCTTTCGTTAACTACGACAGTAAATAAATGTAAATTAACATGTCAACACTATCTAGTCTAGTAGTAAATTACTATCATTGTAACTAGTTACTAAATCTCATTCCTAAGGTTTATGATAAGATTTAATTTCATTTAACTCCAACTATACATAAACTGAAAAATTACTGTTAATGATAGGCATCGTAAACATAAACTTAATACCGTTCTATGTTTTTAATCATTTGAACTCCCTGAAGATATATATTTTCACCTAATAAAGGTATCACTAAAAAAACCGGATAATAACCAATTAAAATCTAGTACTTCATCAAGTTACTAGTGAACGTTACGATTATTCGTGCGTTTTATTTATTTGAACAAATATTGGTACAAAGGGGCACAGAATACATATGCACCACACAAGTCACTTGATTTGTGTGTGATTACCGGGGTACCCAGACCGAGGCATGTAGTCAGCAGGTTACGAATTATGGAGATATCTGGGGTTGTAACTATTTTATGGTTGATTTCCTAAGATTTTTCGAAGAACTTGGCTATCTGTTGTCAATAATTGTTTACTTTGTATTGGCATTTTGTTTCAGATTGATATATGGCAAGAACAATGCCCACACAGTGGAGTATTTGAAAATGTACCAGCTGCTCATACAGCTGATGTGGTAGTCACTGATGAATCCGAAGAAGACGATGAGGAAGAGGAGGAGCAATAAAACCTTTCTAACAAAAACGTTTTATCCAATTCGTATTACCCACACATAAAATACGTTCTCACACATCATGTATACACTTGGAAGTATTATGTAAACCAGATGAATTATTAATGACAATGTGACACCCAAAATCCGAAGAAATGACTTAACATTTCTAAGGAAGGTGCATGCATGTATAGCTTTTTCCAATCCATCTGCACATCTAGATATTTGAGAACTAAGCTTGATTGAGCCATGGCTCACTCCCTCTTTTTGGCACATATACAATCATACAAACTGTTACTTTAATCTGTCAAATTAAATGACGTATTGTGCTCTCATATTATCATTGTTATTAAGGAATAACAACTCGAAAGAAATGTACATCCTTGTGCACATTGTCCAAGGTGCAAGCAAATTTTACTTTTCAGGTTTGCATTCCACAACTACTTTTCTCTTTTTTGTGTCTCTTTATTTAAATATTTAATCACCGGAGAACAGTGTACCTTTCCTGAACATGTCCAAACGACAGAGGGACTATTCCAATTCCCCGAATGAAATGAGCACTTCAGTCGGTAATAAGTATTTTAGTCCATTTCAAGATCAATGTACCTGTTATTATTATTGTCATTTTTTGTCATTCATACTAACGAAAATTAATCGGTGTTGCACACTATTTGATCATGAAAGTTTTAATCTCATTTCCATGGATTGTAGTATCTTCATATCACCAACTCTTGGTCTGTTTAGTATATGGCTCCACACTTAGTTCTACTGACTTCTCGATAACATTCACCTTGAAGATATTGCTTCACTTTATTCTGTAGCCTGACGTGCTTATAAGAACGGTGTTATCCTTCTGATTTAAAACGATTGCTTAGTCTCTACGTAATTATTTTATTGAGCTTGTTTCCTTGTTAGTGACGTCTGGTTGCTGAAGTAATGTTGATGTGCCGAGAGCGTCAGATATTATACATTCAAAATCTAATACACCTATACATTTAGCACATCTATTAGACCCCTTGAGATTATTAGGAAGCTATGATAATCTCTTGGGTTGATATTATACACACTTTGAAATCTATACATATAATCAGGCGTGGGTATGGGATCTTCAATTTCCCCGATTATTCTAAACCTATTTAAACATTCATTAAAGGCGGAATAAAAATCAAACACTAACCAATGAACAGGATTACCACTGCCGTCATCCTACTCCAAAAAGAAACTAAAAGACTAAATAAACATAATATTTAAATATAATATCCAGCAAAAGATATCCTGAAATTCGGATTTGTATAAGTCAAGGATGCCGACATCAAAGGAGAGAAAAATGTATCTGTGAAACCAAGTGCACCATTTGCAGTATCGCTGAACTTGTAGCATAAAGATAAAAGGAGTCAGACGGTTCTCGGAACATTGTTAAGTCCTTAAAAAAACTTGAGAACAGGTCAACGATGTCAGTACATTTATCAGAAACAGGACACAAGACTGCTGGGCGAAACACTGAGATTATGTCGACTAAATCAGTGGGAGTTATACTAACATAATTTCACTAGTGATAGCAAATCAACCTTTAGCAATCTGTTATGTTAGTGATAAGCTAATTGCCGAAATATTCACTCAGAATGCGATGATAAAAATCATAAAAGTACCAGTAGTATATGATAATAGCCGTTTCAGGTGCTGTGTGAAATAGTAACACCAAGCACTAAATTTTAGTCAAACTTCTACTCCTTTATTTATATTGAACACGGCTTTAATGTTAATTCTATGGAGAGACAGGTACACTTAAAGATTAACAAGACAACTGGAGAAAAGCGCGATAACGATATGGAATTCTGGTCTTTCAACCATTTAGCTGGGAAGTGAAGACAACTTTGAATAACAGGGTAGCAGACATACTTACCCAACATTTAATGTTTTCATAAACGTTGAGTACAGTTTCACCCAAAAAATTATCTTTGATAAATTACAAAAGTCTTTGTGTTAGTGGATCAAGCACACGGGTTGCATCGATTGATATTGGTTAACGCAGTAAGCATGCTATATCTAAATATTTTATGTATACAATTAATAGTAAACAAAATCCAAAGCCGATATTACCCACAAATTCTAAAACTGAAGACTCCAATTCAATTAGGTTATATTACATTTAAAAATACAATAAATGACAGACGTTTAAAGAATGAAGGTGTTTTATTTGCCGCATTCACGGAACTATCAACATTTGTGCTAACTCTCCTGAATCAGCTAACTCTCGTACGATATCCACCCCACCCACTAACTCACCCTTCACATATAATTGTGGATACGTTGGCCAATTGGAATAGGACTTCAAACCTACAAGAGAAAAAAACTAGAAATTAAACATACCGTCAAGGGATTTCAGTAAAACGAGACTAAGCTGCAACCCATTGGCGGACTGGACTTTCAATTACTAAATAGCAAGTTTGAATCTTACTTTGCTTTGAAATTAAGTATCTGACGGTTCTTCTATCTCGTAGCGAACAGGAAATGATTGAAGAGTAATATACAAATTCCTACTTGGCTAAAATCTTATCAGGGAAGCTTACGCATATAAGAAAATCTGTTAAGTTACCGAATAATTCAATTGTAAATTTTCACAAACGAAGTTTGAAATACAAAAATAAGTTGATAGTTAGCGAAATAATGAAGTGATGGTGACTCAGGTATGGGAATATAAATCCGGGTTTCAGTCGAACTTGACAGGATGGGGTTCAAACCTGTGACATAACAGCCGAAAGTCGAGAGACTGACCCGTTTAATTAAACTTATGCGTGATTCCCAAAACCACGTCTTAATGAATGCTTATACAGAGTTTTCAATTTCAAACTACTATAACTCCCACACTAGGTACGGTTTAATAACATATCAGACTCAGTAAGTATTGATAGGATAACCACGTAAGGAGCATGAATCTTCACAGAATAGGACCAAAGATGATGGGATGATCACAATGACAGACCGAGCTTTAGAAACTGTCAAGCAAAAGAAACTTTACGTTTAGGTTTATTTAAATGGTATTATTTTTTCTATTTGTATGCTATAACCAAGTAAACTTTATTATAGAACATTCCATAACCAACAACGTTCTTAGATATGATATATTTCCAAAAATTCCTCTAAAATTTTACATCTGGACATTAGGGCTGTTAGCTACCCTGTATAAGGCTTAACAAAGGGTACATGTTAAAGATGAAAAATGAAAAACAAACGAGTTAGGTAAATACAAATGTATCATCATTATAGCCAGTTAAATACCTCTCCGATTAAACGTTTATAATTGCTTCGCAAAACGTATATGTACAACCAATTATAGGCAAAGCAGTTGATTTTAAGCAACAACTCGAAAACGATTAGCCGCACTCACGAACTCCAGCACCGACAAAACTGAAACTTCTTACGTTCAGTAAACATATCACGTACTAGACTCATAAAACTAAGACTTCAAATGTTGTCTCAGAGTAGACATTCCTTTGGAGGATATAACTTTTGTATGCATAAACACCGGCTGAAGTGTTTCTGGTAACAGTTAGTCACTATGTGCTCCAAATGTATGAAGTCAGATGAAGTAAACAAATACATAAAGGTACTTGCAATTTATCTGTTAACGACAAAAAAGTGGAATTTATTGGGAAATATAAATGCTGGTACTGGGGAGACAATTGAAGTCTGAAATAACACAAAACGACTTCACACATTAAACTAATAAAAAATAATTTAAAACCCTTATTCAACAAGACCAGAAACTTGAATTTTAATTAAAAGTCGAACGAACCTTGTCGAACCACTTCATCTTGTAAGATATCGAACGTTTCAAACTTAGCATTATTAGAACGCAAAATACTGACGATCTGGCGGCTAAATCCACATCGAGGTTCTTCGGGGCTACCCTTCATAAAAAGCATAACAGGTGCCTTATTAATTAAAGAGTGAAGACGTGATGAAAGATCATTGGGTGAACCATTAGCAGGTGCTGATTGCAAATTCATGACAGATTTTGTAATATCAGGAATAGATGCACCACAAACGCGATTAATTTCTTCACCTAACTTTTTGATTAAGGAAACAATAATATTGGCAGATCAAGCAATCAAAACATTGATTTTTTTATTTTTATTTAAGCACATAAATATTGGTACAAGGAAGCACCAGATAAATATGCGCCTCACAAATCTCATTTGATTTGTGTGAGGGCTGTGATACTGCCCAGGTGCCCAGATTGAAGCAGGGCTCTGGCTCGAGACTGGTAGGTCCTGGGTTCGAATCCCGCGAGTGCGGGATCATGGATGTGCGATGCTGAGGAGTTCCATAATAGGACGAAACGGTCGTCCATTGCTTCCAAAACATTGATACTAAGAATAAATTAACTGGGTGACTACCAGTATACACAGGGACTATCGGAATTACATACTGTAAAAAGAAATTCATTATTCTCCTCAAAATAGGCGACCTTGGAGATAACTATTATATGACTAAAGACTTACCGGTACTCTGACAATCTGTCATTATGATTTAAAGCTGAACATAAAAGCAAAGGTAGTCTTATTTCAGTTTCAACCTCACAAACTTTATGTGGCGAAGAGATGTGATCACGCCGGAATATCCTACGGATGGTCTATTTTCCTGAACTAGCAGGCACTGGACAATGAGCAAGTCAAGATTTCTAGGTTTCTCTGCCAAAGAATTTACAATTTCAATTAAATGGAAAGTTCCCTATAACTGGGTTCTTAGCCATTAACGTGAGAACGTTTGCTTCACATTCTAAGTGCATTTCAATCGCGAACTAAATACAATCACTTAAGCTGAATGGAAAGTGTGACCTTGGTCCGCTCGCAAACAATATCACTGAATGCAACAACTTCGGAAAACCAAATAAAATATTACGAAAGTCAGCTACATAAACGAATACCAAAGAATAAGTAGGCTAAAACCACTACATCCATTTGCGTTATTTCAAATTCACTATGAATAACCAGTAGTAATTAAGTTAAATT